GAGCACTGATCACAGAAACAACGGGAAATGTCACACCACACGTCTCAAAGTCAAGTCAGTAGCGGGTATGTCCACCGTGAGCATCAATACATGCCAGAACACGCCTACGGACTGATGACGTCAAACGTCTGATGACGTTGGGAGTGATGCGTTGCCATTCCTCGAGGAGACATCGTTCCAAGTCCTGTACGTTGACTGGAGGCACACGGCGACGTCGGATTTGCCGATCGAGGTGGTCCCATAAGTGCTCATGGGATTCATGTCCGGTGAACATGCGGGCCATGGCAAAAACCTGTACGTTGGCGTTGGCAAGGAAGTTCTGTGTCAATCTTGCTGTGTGTGGCCTTGCATTGTCATGTTGGAAAAGGAGTCCACGAGGCTGTTGCTGAATAAAGGGCACCACAACAGGCCGTAGGATGTCATCAAGATAACGCTGTGCATTCAGGTTTCCACGAATTACGACAAGCATCGTTTTGACGTCACCACATATGCCACCCCAAACCATTAACCCTCCACCTCCAAACGGCCGGACCTGTTGGATACAGTTAGGCGCCAAACGTTCACCAAATCGTCGGTATACAAGCTGCCGTCCATCGTTTCTGAAGATGAGGAATCTGCTCTCATCAGAGAACATAACACGTGCCCAGTCCCGCCGTTGCCAACGTCGAACTCGCCTGGCCCAGATCAGTCTGTTGTTCCGGTGTCGAGGCGTCAGGAGCGGTCCGCGGTAGGGATGACGTGGCCGGATACCATACTGCCGTAGTCTCCTGTAGACGGTCTGTCGACTGATCCAGTGTCCCAGTGCTGTAGCCGCCGTGGAGGTCGCTGTTACGGTGCGGTTCCTCAGGTGTAATACCCGGATGTAACGATCTTCACGGGGCGTGGTTACTCGTGGTCTTCCACTCCTGGGCCTGTCTGACGTCTGACCTGTCTGACGTAACCGCTGCATCAACCTGGTGATAGTGAGTGAGTGAGTGAGTGAGTGAGTGAGGTACTGCTTTACGTCACATCGGCAATATTTCAGCCATATCGTGACGACTGGTGATAGTGATGCGTGCGCAGCCCAACCTTCTGGCGACGTCGACGTGTGACGCTCCTTGTTGGACCATTCCAACGGCTCTCTCTCTCTCGATGGCTGTCAAACGTGGCATATCTTGTATTCTTTTTGTTGCTGTGATATCAACGTGTCTGATCAGCCGTTTTATACAGTTTTTATGCACGTGCAGAACATGCTAGAGAGGGAAATGTCACTTTCACGAAATTTACGTTTTTTCCCGGAAGTGATCACGTGTTCCCGGTATTTTTTATCGACTATGCTGTGTTTGGGATGTGCAATACGAATTGGCATGTTTTCATACTTGACAATTCACTTAGTAAAAAACAATTTTGAAAATAAGTTGGTATCGTTTCTTTTGGACACTAGTTTAATTTAACAACAGTTGTATTTCTGTAAAACATGTTCGTTTCAGAGACTAGATGTCAGTCCACACCTAGCTTTACCCTAGCTAGTCTAAGAGTGAGGCCGTCCTCTCCGTCTCTGGAACAAGGCTTATTTGGCCAAGGCCACATGGATCATGTCATCAGTATAACAGTAGTTAATGGGAAATGACAGTTGCACAGCTCGTTCAGGTTGGCTGATAGTCAATGAGCAATATACAATGGTAATGAGGGATTACTAATGGGGATTAGCATCTTGTAAGGAATGGCAATTAAGTGATTCGAGACAGAGACATGTCATGGTTCAATGGTAATTAACCTTTGGAATTAATATTCAGTCAGACAAACGTCATGAGTCGGTCGCTATGACAACTGCAACGCGTGACACTGTCAATATTACCTCGGGGGAACGACATGAGCTTTTCGTTAAAATTATTATTACCCAAGTCAATCCTTCGAGATTATACATGGAGGACTTTGTGTATGCGCACCTATAATCGGCAATGGTACTGATTTGAACCACATGTGTGTACCAATGCAAGGCCTCTTGTCTGAACTAGAAAAAAATGAAGTGGGTCTGGGCTAGTCTTAGATTTCAAGAATTTCAAGGTTACAACATTCAAGACCTCAGTGAAGCTCTCAAAAATGTAATGGTAGACAGGTGGAGGCCATTTCCAAATATGACGCATCAGTGACAAGAATGATGTCCGATGCAACTCCCTATTTTGACTTGACAATGGGTTTTTTCAGATGAACAATTAACTTGCCTTTGCATGTGTTTGTGACGGGAGCCTCCCGTGGTGAAGGATATGCTTACCTTCTCACGAACACCTGGTGTCATCAATATTATTTCCTAGTTGTTCATTTAAGGATTGACTGTGTATTTTTTTCGGTTCATTGAGTTATGAAACCGATGTGCAAACTGAATGAATCTGCGTAGCGGATTCTTACAAAAGTTTGCACATCCGTTTGTCGATTCATACCTCAATGAACCTAAACAAATGCATAAGTACATTCGACAGCGAAAACATGTTTTATCTACAACAGTTTAACCAAAAACAGTTGTATATATCAAAGCAGACAAAAATGACGAGATTGATAAACATTCCGAGTGTAGGAATACATACTGTGGCGTGACATGAATCAGGTGATTGTTTAATATGCACATAACTTGACACGCCTACAACGTCAGTAGCCAATCAACGGAGAGTAAGATCCAAACAATGTTCATAGGACCTGTCAATCAAGGCAAGAGACGAGAAGAACTGCAACAGTCAGACTGTAACGACCCGGAACAAATATGTCCGGGAGAAGGCGGCTGTTTCAAATGGCATGGTCAGTTGCCGCCAGATTAAAACATTAGGTCCCTGAGAACGGAAAGACACAGTTGGAAAAATGGTGGTTAGAAATGAAAGCCTAAGACATGAAAGTTGTGGAACCGAGGTGAGTGGGGGGAAAAACCAGACGAGCGAGCCTGCACGTTTGCTGTTTCATTCCATCTCGGCCATCTGTCCCAAAGGGTTGTTTGGACAATGAATATGCATGAATTTCGCTAAATGTCCTGCGCATGACGATACACGTGAGCAGACAGGGAATTCCCTGGACTGTAATATTGGGATTCCCAACATTCCGTAGTAATAAAAGTAGTCCGCTTCAGTGGGCGTGGCTTAACGTTTTTACATTCATTAGGAAATGAATGCAATAACACGTGATCAATTCAGCTAATCAGAATACAAGAATTTCAATGAACACAATGACAATTTAATTTTAAACACATGCGTACACTCGACTCCGCGTTAAGCAGAGATTTCTTTTCCATATGGAAAGGGTTTTGTCGCCTTTATTTACAAATGAATTTAAGCAGTACAACGAAGACCTAAGGTGCATGTTCCGTGTATAAACTCTCAACGGGATGTTTGCAAGGGGTTTACACGGGGCCTTTATATTCTACTGAGTTTCATTTAGCTCTGTATTTCCTCCAATGAGTGGGTATTTCAGTCTGATCTGTGCCAGAATGGTAGTTTGGGCAGGCGATCAGCCGCTGCCAATACCATCCCAAACACGGACAGACGATTCTGATGCTTAAATGGGATTTTTTTCTTTTCTATCGATTTTGTTCATCAGGATATAATCCCCTGAGAATCGTTATTGAGAAGAAGGATTGGCATGGTCTGTATTTTGTTCGTGTTTTATTACTTTACTGTTACTAGAGTTATTCTGTAACGATCCGTACACAGACTTCAAGAGAATTGGAATGGTGTGATGAAGTGGAAGGACAAACTGGGTGAAGTGGGTGTGGGGCGGTGGAGTTTGGCGGCGGGGGGAGGGGTTGCTGAATATTAGGCACAGACGGATTTGTATTGCGTCAGAAGTGTGTCGAAGTGTTAATTACCAAGCTTCAAGAAACAATGACGTCAGAGAAGCTATTTAGGGGCCATTGGCTGTATCCTCGAGAAAGGGTCTTTACACGTTAAACTCAATTGAATTATCCTGATTCCTCTTCTGTGTTTTCCGATGAGCGAGGAACTTGTTTTAAATATAGATCCTTGTTTTCAGTTTTACCTCCCCACCGAAGTACCAGTCGTTAGCGTAATCATTAACCTTCTCGACACACACCCCTACCCTTTCCCTCCCCCGCTCTCCCCACAAGTGATCCATTGCAAGCATATTACACTACACTGGCGTTCTGGAAGGAACCTCGCCACTCATGTCATGCTGTGTTTAAGTTGTGATATATGACTTCCTAGAACTCGGTGAGCACCTGTGGTCTGCCGCATTCCTGACTCTCCAAACACAGCGCAATGTTCGATAGTAAGCTGGGAGTAGTAAGGTACTGGGGCATTTATATTATGTGTCCATGTCGTGTATATCACGCCACACCACGCCACGCCACGCCACGCCACGCCACGCCACCATTGCATCACATTACAACACCAGCACAACGCAACACAATACCCAGCTTCCCATACCCCCACAATACAGCACTACACACACGCGCGCGCACACACCACGCACACACACACATACACACACACACCAGAGACCATATATCGGTATATGGTCTCTGTGCACACACACACGCACGAACAAATGCACACACATACATTCACACACAACACAACGCAACACAATACACAGTTTCCCATACCCCCACAATACAGCCCTACACACACACGCGCGCGCGCGCGCACATACACACCACGCACGCACACACACACACACACCAGAGACCATATATCGGTACCGATATGGTCTCTGTGCACACACACACGCACGTACAAATGCACACAGATACACACACAACACAACACAACACAACGCAACACAAATACAACATATCCACCCCAAAAACCCATCATCTATTCATACATTTAAAAAAATCGTCTGCAACACACATGAAACCTTTTCCACATGCGATTCCTCGCTATGAAAATAAAACACACTTTAAGATCAAAGGATGATAAGCCGCCACGCCCAGGCGTGAACACGCAGACTAACGGTGTGAGCGGATGTAGGTGAAACAGAAAAGCTTACGCTCAGATACTGCATTGTTTTTGCTTCAGGAACTCACGCATCTCACAAAGCCGTAGAATGCTGCTGCCAAGCTAACCGAACAATCGCGCACGAACACTCCGTTATGCTGAATGTACGTAAGTTCAGACAGAATTTATCGATTACAATGCATCTGCGTTTCTCGGGAGTACAGTTATGTATAATTTTCCAGTGGAATGACTACGTATAGAAGTATTAACATATAGACAGTACCGTGCAGCCAGGGGTGAAGGTACCCAGTGATGCGAGGCTCTCGACACGTGTAATTACGTTAGTCGATGTGTCAGTTCAGCTGGGTGGGGGTGGGGGTGGGGGTGGGGGTGGGGGTGGGGGTTGTGGATCATAGCGGGGCTTGAAGGAGCGTGACGGGTGTATAATTAATATTGTTTATGCGTTCAAAAAAAATGTCTCTGTCCAAATAATTGAAATGCCTACGTACCACACACACCGTGCAAATATGTCATACCATATTTAAACAATACATTAAACTAAAATCATAACGCATGCTATTATACCTCTATCAATATTCTTTGTCTGATTAATTAATTGATCATTGGTTAATCATTTCACACGACGATTCAATCAATTAGATGATGACTAGACAATAGAAAACTGACCCGAACAGGTTTGGGCAAATCACGTTACCGACGCTGGCCTCGAGTAGTGACTCGTCACGTGATCGGTATTGACTTCGTCTGTAAGAAAACAGCATATGGCGTCTGCGAGTGGCAATGCACGCTTCGCCGATCTTTCTGAAGAAGGTCTCGACTGCATTGTAATTGTGACAAAAAGAAGACTGCGAAATTCGATTAAGTACTTATAAATGAATTTCGGTATAACAAAACAATTGATTAGTCTTGGAGAGGCCATTACGCGGAAACAAGTACACGAGGACCCAACTCCAGGGGCGGTCAGACCTTTGAAGTGGTCGAGTCCGAGAGTAATTATTCGTTAATTGTGAATATCATATACAAAGCCCTGCATCACATCATAATAATAATCAAAAACGTGCTGTCAGAGTGTACACACAGAGTGTACATCACAGAAGTGTAGACCACAGAAGCGTACACACAAAGTGTAGACCACAGAAGTGTACATCACAGAAGTGTAGACCACAGAAGTGTACACACAAAGTGTAGACCACAGAAGTGTGCACACAAAGTGTAGACCACAGAAGTGTACACACAAAGTGTAGACCACAGAAGTGTACACACAAAGTGTAGATCACAGCAGTGTACACACAAAGTGTAGACCACAGAAGTGTACATCACAGAAGTGTAGACCACAGAAGTGTACACACAAAGTGTAGACCACAGAAGTGTACACACAAAGTGTAGACCACAGAAGTGTGCACACAAAGTGTAGACCACAGAAGTGTACACACAAAGTGTAGACCACAGAAGTGTACACACAAAGTGTAGATCACAGCAGTGTACACACAAAGTGTAGACCACAGAAGTGTACATCACAGAAGTGTAGACCACAAAAGTGTACACACAAAGTGTAGACCACAGAAGTGTACACACAAAGTGTAGACCACAGAAGTGTTCACACAAAGTGTAGACCACAGAAGTGTACACACAAAGTATAGACAACAGCAGTGTACACACAAAGTGTAGACCACAGAAGTGTGCACACAAAGTGTAGACCACAGATGTCTACACACAAAGTATAGACCACAGCAGTGTACACACAAAGTGTAGACCACAGAAGCGTGCACACAAAGTGTAGACCACAGAAGTGTGCACACAAAGTGTAGACCACAGAAGTGTACACACAAAGTGTAGACCACAGAAGTGTACACACAAAGTGTAGATCACAGCAGTGTACACACAAAGTGTAGACCACAGAAGTGTACATCACAGAAGTGTAGACCACAAAAGTGTACACACAAAGTGTAGACCACAGAAGTGTACACACAAAGTGTAGACCACAGAAGTGTTCACACGTAGTGTAGACCACAGAAGTGTACACACAAAGTATAGACAACAGCAGTATACACACAAAGTGTAGACCACAGAAGTGTGCACACAAAGTGTAGACCACAGATGTGTACACACAAAGTATAGACCACAGCAGTGTACACACAAAGTGTAGACCACAGAAGCGTGCACACAAAGTGTAGACCACAGAAGTGTGCACACAAAGTGTAGACCACAGACGTGTGCACACAAAGTGTAGACCACAGAAGTGTGCACACAAAGTGTAGACCACAGATGTGTACACACAAAGTATAGACCACAGCAGTGTACACACAAAGTGTAGACCACAGAAGCGTGCACACAAAGTGTAGACCACAGAAGTGTGCACACAAAGTGTAGACCACAGACGTGTGCACACAAAGTGTAGACCACAGAAGTGTACACACAAAGTGTAGACCACAGATGTGTACACACAAAGTATAGACCACAGCAGTGTACACACAAAGTGTAGACCACAGAAGCGTGCACACAAAGTGTAGACCACAGAAGTGTGCACACAAAGTGTAGACCACAGACGTGTGCACACAAAGTGTAGACCACAGAAGTGTGCACACTCTCTTTCTCTCTCTCTCTCTCTCTCTCTCTCTCTCTCTCTCTCTCTCTCTCTCTCTCACACACACACACACACACACACACACACACACACACACATACGAAAAAAGCACGTACTGTAAACAGAAACAACGATCACAGAGACTACAGCCGAATCGCCAGTGTCAGTACAATCTATTTAAAAGACATCGTTTATTAGTCAATCAACGGCGTACAGTCGCTCTACGGTACTATGTGAGTGAGTAAGCGTGGTTTTAACCCGGTTTTAAGCAATATTCCAGCAATATCACGGCGGGGGGCATCGGAAATGGGCTTCACACATTGTACCCATGTTGGGAATCGAACCCGGATCTTCGGCGTGACAAGCGAACGTTTTAACCACAAGGCTACCCCACCACCCCTCACGGTACTATGTACATACCTTCATTGTCTGATACAAAAACAAATTAGATTTCTACACAAAGGACACGGGGTTAATCATATTAGTATCTTCGTGGGTATTGATTTACCGTTTAATAAGATATTTAATGTTAAGAGGACGCGGTGGAATAACGGGGAACTATGGCACTAAGGACGCATACAGTGTGACTGAACGAGGGTGGAATAACGGGGGACGTGGGAACTGGGGATACATACAATGTGACTGAACGAAGTGGAATAACGGGGAAGCTATGGAACTTGGGACACATACAGTGTGACTAAACAATTAGGACTAACGGGGGAGCTAGGGCACGTGGGATACAGACAGTGTGACTGAACGAAGGTGGATTAGCGGGGGAGCTTGGGCTCTTGGGAAAAATACAGAGTGACTGAACGCGATGGAATAACGGGGGACCAGCGAACTTGGGACACATACAGTGTGGATGAACGAAGATGGAAAAATGGGGGAGCTAGGGTACTTGGGACACATACAGTGTGGATGTACGAAGATGGAATAACGGGGGAACTAGGGTACTTGGGACACATATAGTGTGGATGAACGAAGATGGAATAACGGGGGAGCTAGAGTACTTGGGACACATACAGTGTAGATGAACGTAGATGGAATAACGGGGGAGCTTGTACTTGGGGCACATACAATACGACTGTGCGAGGGTGTGAGCTTCATGTGCCGGAGAATGACGTTACGAAATACACCACATTAATGTTTCATGGAACTATCGCCCAGGGGAGAGGTGCTTTATCTTCAGCTGTGGACATTATTCCCGTTCACAACTACAGACATTGCCATTTCCTCTTCCGGTCAGCTGCTTCAGTTGGTCATTTGCCTGACAGCCTTTTGTTGGAATGTCCTTCTCAATCAAATGCTGATAGGGACAAATGTCTTCAAAATGGCCTATATGGTGTTTATGGCATCTGATATCCTAACTAAGTGGGATATATTTGGTCGTTCCTGGACTCAAAGAACATGTCAGGCCCAATACGTTTCAAGCCTACCCGACCCAACTTCAGGTATGTTCCAACGTTTCTACCCGGGGCATTACATTACTTATCTACCTGACCACATTTTGTATGAATACGGACCTACTTACCACTCCGTTCCCACAACCAAACGTCTGACCGCATTCGTCACCACTTGCCCGTTTCCGTAAACTTGCAGCCCTCTATCGATGAATGTTATGTGCGAAAATACAATATACCAATCAGAATGCGTGTATGACTTCAAGTTCTTCGGTCAAAGAATGCCTCAGGAATAATTTTTGATTTTACATATGTCTTGCATTTAAAAAAATACCCAAGATACATTCAAATGTGTTCAATTCTACTGTATAATACTGTAAGTTCCGATGTGTTTTCAATAGCATCTGGAATATATACGACATATGGGGAAATAAACGTATTTGTTTGTTGTTTAACGCCGCACTCAGCAATATTCAGGCTATATGAAGGCGGGCTGTAAATAATCGAGTCTGGATAATCTAGTGATTGCCATCATAAGCATCGATCCACGCAATTGGGATACGATGACATGCATCAACAAAGTCAGCGAGCCTGACCACCCGATCCAGTTAGTCGCCTCTTACGACAAGCATAGTCACCTTTTACGGCAAGCTTGGGTTGCTGAAGTCCTATTCTACCCCGGATCTTCAAGGGTCGGAAATATACGTGAATCATTACGCAACGAGATGACAGTTCTTATAGCTATGCCCATTTGCGCTTAGACGGAACCAGGTCGCAAAAATGGCCACGAGAAGGGCACGGGTCGCTATTCGGCTTGTCACGGAATAATATGAGTTGGTCGACCAACACGTAATCCGACGTACCTCTCCGTGATTACAAACCACTCATCTGCCGACCATCCTTCATATACGATCCGGCATACCACTACGTCTCTGTCATAAACGGGTCGACCTATCATACCGAATCACACATCTACCAACAACTTGTAAGATAAATGGTATCCGACAGCCGCTCGTGTAGTAATCTCCATACTCACATGAGCAGAGCTGTCGTAATGCAATGTAGAAATACATTTTATTATATACACGTCGTCTCCGTGCCGCTGGCGTCCCAGTTGATAGTTTGTGATATGCTACATCTATCAGACATGGTGAAGCTCAGAC